CCCCCCGTGTCTCCCCCGTGTCTCCCCCGTGTCTCCCCCGTGTCTCCCCCGTGTCTCCCCCATGTCTCCCCGTGTCTCCCCCGTGTCTCTCCCCGTGTCTCCCCGTGTCCCCCCGTGTCCCCCCCGTGTCTCCCCGTGTCTCCCCCGTGTCTCCCCGTGTCTCCCCGTGTCTCCCCGTGTCTCCCCCGTGTCTCCCCCGTGTCTCCCCGTGGCTCCCCGTGTCTCCCCGTGTCTCCCCGTGTCTCCCCGTGTCCTCCCCCGTGTCTTCCCCGTGTCTCCCCGTGTCTCCCCCGTGTCTCCCCCGTGTCTCCCCGTGGCTCCCCGTATATCCCCCGTGTCTCCCCGTGTCTCCCCGTGTCTCCCCGTGTCTCCCCCGTGTCTCCCCGTGTCTCCCCGTGTCTCCCCGTGTCTCCCCCGTGCCTCCCCCGTGCCTCCCCGTGTCTCCCCGTGTCTCCCCGTGTCTCTCCCGTGTCTCCCCCGTATCTCCCCGTGTCTCCCCGTGTCTCCCCCGTGTCTCCCCGTGTCTCCCCCGTGTCTCCCCGTGTCTCCCCGTGTCTCCCCCGTATCTCCCCGTGTCTCCCCTGTATCTCCCCGTGTCTCCCCCGTGTCTCCCCGTGTCTCCCCGTGTCTCCCCCGTGCCTCCCCCGTGCCTCCCCGTGTCTCCCCGTGTCTCCCGGTGTCTCTCCCGTGTCTCCCCCGTATCTCCCCGTGTCTCCCCGTGTCTCCCCGTGTCTCCCCCGTGCCTCCCCCGTGCCTCCCCGTGCCTCCCCGTGTCTCTCCCGTGTCTCCCCCGTATCTCCCGTGTCTCCCCCGTGTCTCCCCGTGTCTCCCCCGTGTCTCCCCGTGTCTCCCCCGTGTCTCCCCGTGTCTCTCCCGTGTCTCCCCCGTGTCTCCCCGTGTCTCCCCCGTGTCTCCCCGTGTCTCCCCCGTGTCTCCCCGTGTCTCCCCGTGTCTCTCCCGTGTCTCCCCCGTATCTCCCCGTGTCTCCCCCGTGTCTCCCCGTGTCTCCCCCGTATCTCCCCGCGTCTCCCCCATGTCTCCCGTATCTCCCCGTGTCTCCCCCGTATCTCCCCCGTGTCTCCCCGTGTCTCCCCGTGTCTCCCCGTGTCTCCCCGTGTCTCCCCGCGCGTCGCCACCTTCTGGTCGTAGCTGCCCGCGGCGAGCACGCTCCCCGCGGGGTTCCAGGCCACGCAGCGCACGCCCAGCGCCCAGGAGTACGCACGCAGGCGGCACAGGGGACGCCCCTCCCAGGAGTACACGTACACGCCGTACTACACACGCACGCACACACACACATACATATACTCACAAGCCATACTACACGCGCACACGTACACACATACGCCATACCACACGCGCACACTCATTAGCCGTACGAAACACACACGCATGCATACATACATGGACACGCCATACTACACACGCACGCATACAACAGCCGCTATTCGCCACTGAGTGACAGCGTTATCACCACAGCGCTTGTGCCAGGTGATGTGCACTTTGTTGAAAGGCAGCTGGCAGGGTCACGGGACAGACCCAGGTGCCATGGACTGACTGAGATGACCGGCAGATGCACCACCTGTGCCCCCTACTGTGCCAATTTGTTGTGCTTTAGCCGCCCGGCGCTCCGCTCGTTGTTGTTGGAGAGCAACTGCCTCCAACTGCCCAGGAGCATCCTTCAAGAGCCTCCTCCACAGAGGCCGATTTTGGCCCCACTAGTACCAGCCATCATCATGAAGGTCCTTAATGATTGTGAGCAGAGAGTCAGGGACTCCGAAAGCACGAAGAACAATCCAGAGCCCTGGCCTATTGATAGTTTCATAGGCCTTGACCAGGTCATTAAAGCAGACATGCAGAACCTGTTGGGAATTCCCCACAACTCTGCTGTAACAGACGGACAGAGAATACGACATCTGTGCAAGACTGCCCTGGGCCTGAAACCATTTTGGGGCTCCGCAAATCTCTCCTCAGCTTTTCATTGCAAGGCGATGTTGAATAATCCTTGCCAGAACCTTTCCTAGCACACTGATGAGTGAGATGCCCCGGTAGTTGTTACAGTCTGTGTGGTCCTCCTTCTTAAAGAGGGGGACCACCAGGGCATCCTTTCAATCCTGCAGGACCCATCCTGCGGTCCAGACAGTCGTAATGATGTCAAATAGGGCAGTCTGCACACAAATAACAACCTTCCTCAGCAGTTCGCTTGGGAGATCATCCCTGCCCGGCACTTTCCCTGATCTTAGACTCTGGATCGCCTTCCGTATACAAGACAAAGATCACCCGTATAGCCTTAACAGAATGTAGGACCAAGTGTTGTTCGCGAGCACACGCACGCACACGCACGCACATACACACACAAGACAAAGATCCCCAGTAAAGCTTTTATAAGACTGCTGGGGCTGTTAGCGAGCACCTATGAAGGCCGGCACGGCACACGAGGGGGTGGGTGGCCAACACCACGCCCTGCCGTCTCTCTCCCGAGTGGCGATGGTGACACACCGCACCAGCTACTCATTTGAGGCTGAGTCTGCCTAGGGGAGGCCCAGGACCGATTTAGATAGTTATCCACCCACGATTATAATCGCCACGATTATAATCGTGTCGGGCGTGAGCGGGACTTGAACTCGGGTCCCCGGGTTCATAGCGCGCTAACCGTTCTCTCTACCGCTCCCCACGCACACACACGTACACGCACACGCACACCTCCACACACACACACTCACCTCCACACACACACACTCACCTCCACACACACACACCTCCACACACACACTCACCTCCACACACACACACACCTCCACACACACACTCACCTGCACACACACACACTCACCTCCACACACACACTCACATCTCCACACACACTCACATCCACACACACACCTCCACACACACACTCACCTGCACACACACACACTCACCTCCACACACACACACACCTCCACACACACTCACCTGCACACACATCCACTCACCTGCACACACATCCACTCACCTGCACACACATCCACTCACCTGCACACACATCCACTCACCTCCACACACATCCACTCACCTGCACACACACACACACTCTCCTCCACACACACACTCACACCTCCACACACACACACTCACCTCCACACACACACACACGTCCACACACACACACACTCACCTCCACACACACACTCACACCTCCACACACACACACTCACCTCCACACACACACACACCTCCACACACACACACACCTGCACACACACACTCACACCTCCACACACACACACACACTCACCTCCACACACACCTGCACACACACACACTCTCCTGCACACACACACACTCACCTCCACACACACACACTCACCTGCAGTAACACGCTCACACTTACCTGCACGCTCACACACGCTCATCTGAACCCAATAACCTGCACAGAATCACCTGCGCACACACACTCACCTGCAGTCACATACTTGATTTCACCTGCACACAGAAACACAATCACACACTCACCTGCACACACACACACTCACCTGTAGGGCAGAGTCCCACACGCACAGCTCACTGCCACTGGGAGACCAGGCCAGTCCCTCCAAGTCCTCCGTCTCAACTTTAAAGTGCTGCGCGCACACACACAAAGACAAAGATCCCCCGTGAAGCCTCAACAGACTGCCGGGGCAAGTGCTGTGAAGGAGGACCCACAAATGCCAGCACAGCGCATGAGGAGCGGCTTTGGCAATCACCGTGCGCACCGTGTGTGCGCTCACACACGGTGTGTGCTCACACCGTGAGTGTGCTCACACCGTGAGTGTGCTCACACCGTGTGTGTGCTCACACACCGTGTGTGTGTGCTCACACCGCGAGTGTGCTCACACACCATGTGTGTGTGCTCACACCGTGTGTGTGCTCACACCGCGTGAGCTCACACCGCGTGTGTGTGCTCACACCGTGAGTGCTCACACCGTGTGCTCACACCGTGTGTGTGCTCACACCGTGTGTGTGCTCACACACCGTGTGTGCTCACACACCGTGTGTGTGTGCTCACACCGCGTGTGTGCTCACACCGCGTGTGTGTGCTCACACACCGTGTGCGTGAGCACACCGTGAGTGTGCTCACACCACGTGTGTGCTCACACCGTGTGTGTGCTCACACACCGTGCTCACACACCGTGTGTGTGAGCACACCGTGAGTGCTCACACCGTGAGTGTGCTCACACCGTGAGTGTGCTCACACCGTGAGTGTGCTCACACCGTGAGTGTGCTCACACACGGTGTGTGCTCACACCTTGTGTGCTCACACCGCGTGTGTGCTCACACCGTGTGTGTGCTCACACACGGTGTGTGTGCTCACACCGCGTGTGCTCACACCGTGTGTGTGCTCACACCTGCCGGAGCTGCCAGTCGCCGCAGGAGAAGATGCTCACGCAGTCCGTGCCGTCGCGGCACTCCGCCAGGGCCATGAAGCGGCCGTTCCTCGTGAAGTCCACACCTGTGCAAAGGCAAAGATCCCCCATATAGTCTCAACAGACGGTTGGGGCAAGTGCTGTGAGCGAAGGCCGGCACCGTGGCACACGAGGGGGTGGGTGGCCAGCACCACGCACGGCCGCCTTTGTCTCCCCAGTGGCAATGCTTTTTACACATCGCACTAGGTACTCAATTGAGGCTGAATCGACCTAGGGGAGGCCCAGGACCGGTTAAAATACTCGTCGATGGTGTTGGCCGTGAGCGGGAAATCAAACTCGGGTCGCAGGGTTCGTAGCGCAATGCGCTAACCGCCGCGCCACCACCCCCCACCTCAGTGCACACACACGCACACACACGCACGTACGCACACACACACACACACGCACGTACGCGCACACACACACACACGCACGCGCGTACACGTACGCACACACACACACGCACGCACACACACACACACCACGCACGCACGCGTACGCACACACACACAGGTATGTGGGCGACTTGGGGTCAAGGGGACGGGGGTTTAAGTTTGGGAAGAGGAGGTTAAGGCAGCTGGGGCTCCGAGTGGGCACAGGGGTCGTACCTTGTGCGCAGGCCTTGGGGTAGCGGATGTACGAGACTGCCTTGCTGCTCAGTGACCACACGGTGATGCGCAGCTGTTCGAAATCACACAAAGACAGAGGTACCCCACTGTAGCCTTGCTCAAACGTCGGGGCAAGTGCCGTTGGCGAGCACTTGGGGACAGCGTGGCGGACGGGCGCCGTGAAATCCGCCCACCTCCCGCCTCCTCCCGCGCTTCAGGAACGTTCGGCTTACGAAATTTCACGTTCGCGCAAACTCTCAAATAACGGGCACCCCCCATTCGGCTGATGAGATCGAATTGCATCCGTTGACAAAACGTCGCACGGCGCGAGATCGTCAAACGAGAGGCACCCCGATAGGCCGCGTCACCCATCGGCGTGTCCCCATCGCGGTGCAGCGGCAACGCCTGCACACCGCCTCGCCAGTCCCAGCCGACAAGCGGCACCTGGCGAGTTCCCTGAAAGGGTGGATTGTTTTTGGCTTTGAATTCATTATTATTATTATTATTCAATCGTCTCAATATTTACGCTCATTATTATTATTTGTTGCATTGGGAAAAGTGATGGATGTGTCTAGTTTTTCGTGAGGAGTAGAGTTGGAGTGACTGTCCCCGAAACACATTGCAAATATTTCTGCATTAAAATTCATGGCAATAGTACGACAGTAATTCACGAAATTTTGTCTAACTTGCTTTTTTTTTTATGAACTCATCTCTGTCATAAATCTGATTGTCAGTATTATGGATGATATTGGGCGCTTTCGCGCCCAATATCATCCATAATACAACACAAGCAATCTGATGAAGATTGCTTGTGTTGCAATCGAAACGTCGTGAGAATTTGATTACGTTAAATTTTTATTATTTTATTATTTCCCTTCTACGTGACTACCGAAAGAACCAAGAATATAATATCATCCATAAGAGGTTTTTGAGTTAGATCGCGTAAATATATGTGTCGTTAAAACCTGCCACCACCCGACACAGCCAACTAGTGAGGGTTGTCACGGAAACAGAACGTGCCAATTCGTCACCAGCACAGCACAAATGTCGTCTACCGAGAAGTCATAGAAAGGGACCGCGGTATAAATCCCCGAGTCTGCGAGAGAAATCCAAAGTTTTTTGGATAGAACTGATGCAGGGTGCGCGTCAATGCGTATGTTGCGTGAAGAGTTTGGTAAAAACAAATTTGGATTTTTATTTTCTATTGGGGCGGGAGGCACTGGGAAGCACCATTGTATTAATTCTAGATGTGAAGCTTTCGTGACTGCAAGGATTCATATTCTTAGGTTTTGTCGGTAAAGTCACGTAGGTAAAAAATAAAAATTTATAAAAGTAAAATAAAATAAAAATCACGACGTTTCGGAGGCAACACAAGCCTCCGTCTTCAGGTGGAACCGTCACAGCATGATAGCTGTATCAAGTGAGAGAAATTCCAAGAAAACCGTCCTTGTATATATACTGGTTGAGGGTGGGAGGAGCCAAGGTAGGCCCTGGATATTATAATTGTGAGGTTCGGTGCGGCTGAAGCACGCTGTTAGGAATTAGCCTTCGTTGTGTAGACTAGGTGCGGCTGATGTAAAGGTGCGTGGAAATAGGACTGAGCCTTTTGTTATGTAGAGGTGGTGCGGCTGAAACCGTTACCAGGAATGAGTCTTTGTTGTGTAGAATGGATGAACCATTCTACACAATTATAATATCCAGGGCCTACCTTGGCTCCTCCCACCCTCAACCAGTATATATACAAGGACGGTTTTCTTGGAATTTCTCTTACTTGATACAGCTATCGTGTTGTGACGGTTCCACCTGAAGACGGAGGCTTGTGTTTCCTCCGAAACGTCGTGATTTTTATTTTATTTTTATTTTACTTTCATTAATTTAAATGTATTACCTACGTGACTTTACCGAAAAAACCTAAGAATAAGCACCATTGTTCATAATTCAGAACATTGGATAATTCGGCAAGGCCAGAGAGCCCCATGTGTGTCTGATGAGCAAGGGTTCGCTGCCGATTCAAGACTGTGCAGGGCACCTGGAAGTCGCTGGTGTTGAGGATGTGGCGCCCGTCAGGGCTCCACCGCGAGGCCACCAGCCCCGCCGAGCCCTCGTCCACCTTGCAGCGCCAGTCCGGGTGCTCCATCGAGAACACCTGCACGCACACCAAGACACCAGAGGCACAGATACCCCCTCACCGTCATAGCATCGTTACAGACCTAAAGCTTTCGTGACTGCAGGGATTCATCTTCTTGGTTCTTTCGGTAAAGTCATCACGTAGAAGGGAAATAATAAAATAATAAAAATAAAACATAATAAAATAATTCTCACGACGTTTCGGCCACAACGCAAGCAGCCGTCCTCAGGTGAGGAACAGGTCTGTCGGAAAGACATCATTCAGACGCTGTCTTCCCGACAGACATGTTCTTCACCTGAGGACGGCTGCTTGCGTTGTGGCCAAAACGTCGTGAGAATTGTATTTTAGAATGTTTTTAAATTATTTTATTATTTCCCTTCGACGTGACTTTA